GGCCAGGTCCCCAGTTGGGGATATGTGAGAGGCAACTCATCAATGTATCTCTCACACATTGATATTAAGAAAAAGAGTAGTGAATGAAATTAATAGTCTTCTCACATTTCCCAGGTTAGAAACATTGAGGCAGACCCTTCACAGATGGGTAAACAGCTGAAATCTCAGAAGTTATATTTGATTTAGCATAATAAATGTAAACGTGTTTCAAGTTTCCACAGAATGTCTATCAGAAATAAATCTTTAAATGTTAGCTCTTGGGGAGGAGAGATAGTGGGAAAGAGTCATTCCCAACTTGACTCTAATTATACAGCATGCAAGTACAGACATGCACAAATATTCTTATGTTAGTGAGGTGTGTGCAAAGTGGAGTTCAGTGAGAAGACAGAAGCTGAAATCCTTACATGTACTTTCCCAAGCAAATTTTATAAAACCTATAATCTGCTGTGTGCATCGGGGGCTGGTGGCTGTCACCTGGGACCAGACTTCCCTGGATGAGCTCAGTTTGGGAAACAGCAAAGCCACGCTTGCCAGCCCAGCATTGGTTCTGTTTCCATGTAACAGTTGCCAAAACAATGATCATCAATAACATTTCCTATTTATAATAAACTTTTAAGAATAACGTATTTTTTGTTGCAGAGAATTTCTGATGGCAGATGTCCACATGGAAAGAAAAAACATCAGGGATAAAGTCAAAAAAAGAAAAAGTAACTTGTGAAATTTTAATTCTTGTTTTTAATATGACATGAAATTGAGACATTTTCTTCCTGGGAAAATGAAAACACAGCGAGTCTCCTTTACGCCCAGTGTCCAGCAGCACCTGAGAAGGAAAGTGGTAGCAGTATCGGGGGCACTCTGTGGGGCCGTGGCCTTCAAGATTTCCCATGGACTGAGGTGGGTGAGCCCAGGCTACGGTGACTAAGCATATTTCCGACAGTGCTCCCGTGCCTTTTTGATCGAGCCGTTATGCAGGCTCCTTCCCAGACGCTGACGTTTATGCTCCACAGCCACTGAAGAGGATAAATTATTGTGAGATATTTTTTACTTCAAGTGATTACTGAAAGGACAAGAATTCATCAACTTTTGATCTAGACAAGACCTTCAAGCAATGCTGAAATCCACCTCCATAATCTTGTGTGGAAATCCCTGTCAGGAAACTGTCAGCTCAATATAGAGATTAATCACAATGAACGTCCATGGCTCCCAAGGGAAAGAGAAGGCTGCGTCTAGCAACATTGCCGCCAGATTTGGAAATGTTGTCTCCTAGCACGGCCTCAAGAAACCTAATCACATTTACACAAGTTCTTGCTTTTCAGCTTTTCCCTAGAGAGCAAAATTGCCCTTCACATATAACACCAATCAAGGTAGTAATACGGCAGATTACTCTACAAACACTTTTGGTTGGTTTACCCACTATAATTTGAATCACTTTGTATAAATATGTACAAATATATTCGCATCGACTGGTACAGTGACTAATCTTATTTATTTTTGTAAGTACCCCCCGATCTTCTGCCACGGAGAAATAGCCACCTTTTATTTTAACTTCTAAGGGATGCATGGACCCACCCCTTTGTACTCTGGCTCCAAAAGCTGTTTGCTCTCCAAACCAGAAGATACTCCTTTTATGGAGAGGAAAGAGCGCCACCTAGTGAAACAACGTTTCCCAACAGTCCTTCAACATGGAAGTTCCACCTGTTTTTCTTGCCAGACAATCTCTGGTTCCAGCATTGGTGTGATGGCATTTTTGAAGCTGAGGCCCGGTGCTTAGGGCCTATGAGCTTTTAAGGGCCAATAAAATTGAGAGCTGAGAAAAATCTACCGGGTCCAAAATTCCTTTTAATTCCAAAACTGAAATTAGTAAATTTGATTAAATATCTACAAAATATGGTGTGTCAATTAGTCACAAGCCATTCAACTCTTAAAGAGCTATATATAAATAGCATTTAATGTGGGTTAATTTTAATATTTTCTATGATGAGAGACAAGGCCTCTTATAATAAGAGTAAAGGCCTATTTTCTGTAGAGCTGATCTCTCTTACATACTGTTCATGACCATGAACACGGTCCAACCACATCTTGATGTTCCTCTTTAAAGATACTAAAAACAATGCTATATATATGCACAGTGCCTGGTAAAAGTTTACACATACTCCTATTTAACTCATTTAATCTTTACAATAGTTAATTAAGAAAGGATGAATTAAAAATTTTGGATAAGTTATGAGGTTTTTTCCCAAAGTACAAAATATTACAAATTCTGAAGAAAAAAAATCAGAACCAAAACAGATTAACAAGCTCCGCTCAAATAAAAACAAACTTCTAACTTGAAATGGCAGGTGTAGACTCTGATGGGGGACAATGCATAGCACGTGGCTCCAGAGTCAGATACTCCGAATAGGAGCTGTGTGAACTGGGACAAGTTACTTAACCTCTCTGTGCTTCAGTAGCCCTCAACTGTAAAATGTGGATAACAGAATACTTACCTCTCAGGGTTGTTGTGATGTTTAAATCAGTTCATATATATGAACTAATCAGATAGTGCTTGGCACATAGTAAGAGTTCAATAAATGCTAGCAGTTAATTATTATTCCATCAAATCATATCAATTTTTGATTCTTAAATCGATTTAAGATTTTGGATAAATTGACTCACCAACACAACTGAAAACATCCACAAAACCAGTTTCTCATCCTTTATTTTGAAAACTTTTATTTGGAAATAACTTCTAACTTAGAAATGAGTTGCAAAAATCAAAACAGTACGAGGAATACTCATGGACCCTTTACACAAATTTGTTTATTGTTACCATACCATTCATTTGCTTGATCATTTGCACTGCAGATCACTTCAAATCTGTGTCCCTACTTCTTATTTCTAGCGTGTGATTCATTTATTTTCTATTTCTGAGTAGCAAATTGCCACAAGTTTGGTGCCTTAGAACACTACCTTTTTATAAGCTCCCAGATGTACAAGGCAGAAGTCTGGGCACAGCCTGACTCGGTTCTCTGCCCAGAGCTTACAAGGACATAACGGGATATTAGACAACAGCGCTCCCTTCTGGGACTCCTTTCTTGGCTGTTGGCCAAATTCAATTCCTTGTAGCTGAAGACTGAGGCCTCCATTTCCTTGCTGGCTGTCAAATGTGGGCCATTCTCACCTCCTACAGGTCATCCGTTTTCCTTTAAGTGCGGTTCCGTCCATTTCCAAAGCCAGCAATGAAGAATCTCCCCAAGCTTTGAATTTTCCTCCCAAGGAAGAATCCCAATTCCTTTTGAGGGCTCACCTGATTGGGCCAGGCTCATCTGGGATAATCTATTCTCTTTCTTAATGCTAACTAATTTGGGGCCTTAATTTCTGCTAAACCTCTTCACAGCAGCACATAGTTTAGTGTTTGAATAACTAGAGAAGCCTATACGCATCAGGGGGCAGGAATGGGGGGGGGGCGTGTCAGAATTCCACCTTCCACATGAGACACTTTATTAGTCTGTGTACTGTTTGCTAGGAATAGCAAAATACCACAGCCTGAGTGACTTACACAACAGAAATTTATTTTGTCACAGTTCTGTAGGCTAGCCTTGCAAGATCAGTACCAGTATCAGCAGGTTTGGTTTTTCCTGAGGTTCTTCTCATCTTACGGATGACCAACCACCTTCTCACTGTGTCCTCACAGGGTGTTTTTCTCTGGATATACACATCCCTGTGTATACACATCTCTCTCTCCCCCTCTCTCTCTCACTTTCTCTGTCTCTCTCTCTCTTCTTACTAGGATATCAGTCATATTGTACTAGGGTTTCAGAGTATAAATTTGGGGGTCGGGGATACATTCAGTCCCTAATAGTCTAATAACAAAACTAAGAGTTAATATTTGAGCTGCTAGACAGGTATTGTGCTAAACATGTTTTTGTAGGCTATCTCATGAACATAAATCATTAAATTATATATCATTATAACGATTATATAAAATAAAATTCCAGCTTTCTCAAAATGTTTACTATTCTTGATTAGAAATTCTGTAAGATTTTAATTGTTATCTGATTCTTAGAACAATGTGTCTCTTCTATCATTTGCTTCCCATGCTCCATTCTGAGTACAGCTTCATTCACCAATTAAGTTTTATTGATCATATAAGAGCTTGGTTCAGAGACACAAATTTGAGTTATCAAAATTCATGCTCTCAGAGAAGCATGTTTTATGTGTGTCTCCAAGTACATTTTGAAATATCTTACATGAAAAAAGTCAATTATATTTATATCATTCTGCACTTTTAGGTTCTTATGAAAGCTGAGGCGCTGAAAATTAAAATAAGGATTTCAAGAAGAGAAAATTCCTATGAATGTTTGATATTCTTGAGCTGCCTCATCCCTAACTGTGCAGCGACATTCTTTTCTATGTGGCCTTAGAAAATCCACCTGGGATTTGAAGGTGAGAAATAACATAAAAGTAATACATCCGACTAGGTAAGGTCTCAAATTCCACTAGCTCTGCTCCAAAGTTGAAGAAAAGGAAAAATCCTTTATTCTCTCACCGTCCAATCCGTTCATTTTTTACGTGATTAACATGCAGACCTCTCCTTCAAGAGGCAAAAGCGTTTGCAGGTGCTGAAGGAAATTCTGCCCTTGCAGGCCGAGCTGCTTCTCAGCTGTGGGCAGTAGAGTGATGACACCTCGGACAGGAGCCTCTTCCCAGCCCCGTCCCAGCTCCAGCCCTCCCACTCTCCTTAGTGGCCTGTGGTCCGAGTGCACGTTCTGCATCCTGCTCTCTGGCTCAACGTCAATTCACCAGCGCCTTCCGCGGGAGCGTGGACTGGGCGGGCGCTGAGGTCCGGCCCCACCCACGCTTGGGCCCCCAGACCCCTTGCCCCGCCTCGCCGCGTGCGGCTGCGGGGCTAATAAATGGTTTGGGCGCCCCGCGCGCCTGGTCGAACTCCGCAGTAGCTCGACCCGCGAGGGCGCTTCTGCGCCTCTGTTCCCACGCCCCCAAGAGTGCGACCTCTGCGCATGGAGGACGAAGAGACGTACCTGGAGCTCTACCTGGACCAGTGCGCCGCCCAGGTGAGCCTGGAGGCTGCCGCACTGTCCCAGAATCAGGGTCTGCGTCCCGCCCCAGTGCTCGAGCACCGAGTCCTGCGCCGGAAGGGCTTTGCTTTCTTTAGCTCATAAAAGCCCTAGCAAGTCTAAGATGTGGGCTTGATTAGCTCCATCTTTCAGTTGAAAAATAGAAGTTTCGAGAGTTGAAATCACTGGCCTAAGATTGCTCACCAGACTTCGAACCTGGGCTAGGATGAATCTTAAATGTGAATTGGAGGCATCTGTGGCTTCTTTCAGTTTGTGATTCTTAAGTGTCCTTTTGTTTAATTTTTTAAATCTTTAGAGTCAAATATTGTAGGTAAGAGAGGTAGGAGTCTTCAAAAACAAAAGCAAGAGAACAAGTTGGGGGGAGGGGGTCGAGGAAGGGAGGGTTTTTAAATAGACAATGAAAGGGCTGAGGTAGAGATAGTGACGTCCCATAGCCTTTAACATAGCAAAGCAGAGCCCACACAGGAAGGGTCCTGGGAAAGATGAGTGAGTTATAGTTCTGCAAAAACCGTTTAACAGAAAGTTTCATGTATAAGGTCAAGGATGCAATGGATACTTTATCAGTACATTCTCTGAAGTGAGTTCCTGCAGGTAAACTCAAGGTTCCATTGCCATAGAACATCCCCCTTCAATATCTTGTTTCCATCGCCTTAAATTCCTTGCTTTACTACTTTTTATTTATAAAAATTTATTTTTATTTTCTATTAGTGAATGCATTGGTGTGACATTGGTTAATAACATTATATAGGGTTCAGTTGTGCAATTCTACAACACATCATCTGTATATTGTGTTGTGTGTTCACCACCCCAAGTCAAGTCTCCTTCCATCACCATTTGAAATTCCTTGTTAAAGTTTAGTTTCCTTGGTCGAGAGTGTTGTCTCCTGCTAAAATGCCCCAGTGGGACAAAGGAGGGGCGCCACCGACGGTTGCAGACATTGGTACGTTAGTGTAAATTGGCTGATGAGATCCTTTCCAGCCAGGACAGGAGAGATGAAGGAAACAATGGAAAGGAATAAGGGCCGGTGTCCCCAGTCCCCACCTAACTTTTCCCAGAGCCGACCTGTGGGGTGGGAGTGGGGGAGGCAGGGGCTAATTACACAAGTTAAAATGAAATAAGTTTAAAAATCATATTTTGAGAAAATGACTGCATGTTTCTCAGTGTTTTCTTTGATCAGTTAGTCACCCCTGCCATCTGCTGGGCTTGTAGTACCAGAGCAATTCAGTAGCACTTGGCTAGACATTCTGTCTTAGCTGAGGTAGCTTCGTTACCGAGAAGATGCAAAGAGGTAAGGAGGCATTTGCGACTATTCAGTTGTCAGAAGTAAGATCTAAGGGTTGAGATTAACCTGCAAGCAGTGCTCAAAAGTTAGAACCTCAGCCTGCAACTTGGGCAAAGTAGGTGGTAATATATGTATCAAGGTAATCAATTTTTTCCATAATAACTCCATGAATTTTACATTAGCTGCTTCCTTCAGTTACACACCTCATTCCCTCGGTTGATACTAATGGAGGTTGAGCAGCCTTTCCTGGACTGAAAATACAATATATTGATTTAAACTATTCTTGCCATTTAAATTTCAATAACTTTTTCCTATGGCAAATTGACATAACTAGATCCTTTTCTTATGTGTCCTTTGCCTCGAAGGAATAACAATGAGTCCTCAGTGGAGTCCTGATTAGCACTCCAGCTGTATCTTAAAACTTCCTTCACTTATTGTTCTTCTATTTAAAGTATGTATGTAAAACTGTAAAAAAAAAAAGTCTTTAAATCAACTAAAGTTTACAATTAATTTAAGGAGTAAATCTGTTCTCTTCAAACTACACATAATTTAGAGCATGGTTACCTTTATTACAAAATTGGATTTAGAGTGGCAACTTCCTATAGATCTAACTAAAGTAGGACAAATGATTTATGAAAAATGCTTTTTCTGGATGTTAAGACATTTTTCTGCTTCTACTATGGGTGCTGTAACACTGTAATAGACCTACTTGGTGTAGAAAGACAGAGCAGGAATGTCAGCTGTATTGAACTGCCTCTCATCCTGAACACGTTGCCTGTGGGCCTTGGTAGTACCCATTGGTGTGACATGCTGTTCTATTTGTTGTGCTTTGTCTCTCTTTTTGGTAATGGCTTAGGATGACCTCGCCCCACCTGGGTTGCCCCTGCCGAGCCCACTTGCACCTTATGATGTCTACATATCTAATTCATCCAATCCAGAGGCTGTGCATAATTCACACCTTGAAGAAGTCAAAGAAACATCTGGTGGTTTGTCATCTGTGGACCTTAGCTTCCTACCAGATGAACTTACCCAAGAAAATAAAGCCCAGACTGCCGTTAGAAGCAAGCATGAAACTGAAGCAAATTGTAAAACTCAAAGTCAGCAAAGTAGGCTGCCGTTACCTAGAAAACAGAATGCTGGCCTGGGCTTAAATAGCAGCAGTTCATCTGAGTCCCGCTCACTTCTGCACCCTGGTGATGCTGACTCAGTCCAGCCCTCTCCCGAGAAAACAAACTCCTTGCCCCTGGCGTCCATAACTCCTATGACACCAATGACCCCTGTTTCAGAATGTTCTGAAATTGTGCCTCAACTACAGTAAGTTGTTTGTTGGGGTTTTTTTAGATGGCTGATGCTTCTGGGTGTACACATTTTATATTCCTGAATGTGATGACAACTAATTTCAGGATAATAGTAGAGGGAAGAAAATTTCAGATTTTATTATTCTTGGTTGTGTCAGTTCTTACTAGATTGTGGCTTTAGGCAGTTTGGTTTTCTATAAAATGAAGCACTAATTCGAGAGTATGTACATTTTTGAAAGATTGCATTTATACTAAGGCACTGTAGTTCCTGAAAATTGTGGTTGCGGCTGGTGAAACACAAAAAATATAAAGATGTAAAACTGCATTCAATTTGCAAATTGATTTGAAATTGTACTTTTTATACAGTTTTTTGAAAATTGTTTTGAAAAAGATTTCTAACTTAATTTTATTTAAGTAGTCATACCATTTTAGGAAAAGCTACTTTATGTTGTCACTTTACTTTGGAATTTTTACATTTTACTAGGGACCACGTCACTATGTATTTCAGATTTAGAATAATTCCGCCTCTACAAATTTACTAATATATAACTTATAAAATGAGGACATTAGTTTTAATTCTTTTTATATCTGATATAATTTTCTAAGTTGACTTATTTCTTCAGGAATATAGTTTCTACTGCAAACCTGGCCTGTAAATTGGATTTGAAGAAAATAGCTTTACAGGCAAAAAATGCAGAATATAACCCAAAGGTAAGACTTCTCAGAATTCCTTTGAACAATTAGCTTTCATTTAGATTTACTTTCCTTTTTGCGATCAAGATATTGATTTGTTTTTGTTTTTGTTTTTAAAGAACACATTTATGAGCGAAAAGTTTTTGGGAACTCAAAAGGTTAATTGCCTCATTCTCTGTTTTGAAGTTCTAAAAAATAACCTCCTTCTCTATGCTGAATAAAGCAGTAATTGAGCAGTTCCTAAAAGTTAAGACCTTTCTCTTTTCACTCAAAAACTTTTTTCAGTTTGACTATATTCAGCCTGACTATGGGGTGCTAACTTTCTTACAATGCTATCATATTCTGGAAATATTTTTTTCTAAGTGTTGTCTACCTAGCCAGCACTTCTGTATTTTTCCAGTTACAGTTTCTCTTCTTTGAGAAAGTTAAATTGTTTGAAGTATAAATTTCAAGCTGCTACTTACTAATGTAAGATTCAAGGAGGTTTTTTTTCCCCTCAAAGTTTAACAAAATCTATTCTTTCTTGTGTCTTGCCAAGGCCAGGCATCCCATTTTCAGTGGCCTATTTACCCAGGAAATGGATTTGTTAATTCGATCAACATTTAATGATTTGGCAGGGTCTGTATTTAGTACAAAGATGAGTAAGACTTGGTCCCTCCTGGGAAGAAGTTCACTGTCTTGGGTGATAGAGGATTTATGGAGTTAGATGAAAAAGACCATGTTAGTAGGAACCCAGAGGACCTTGCCAGCATCAATTCTTCATAAATTATTTGTTTTTGCTGGTAGTGTTGTTGACATCTGAATCCAAATGTTACCCAAATGCAATATAATTTTCCTTTTTATATTTCATATATCTGGCTATGATGAGGACGGAAACTTGATGAAATTCTTATAGCTGCTGCAATAATTGCCGACAAGATTGAGCAATCAGCATTTGAAGCATATTTTATCCTCTACCATCCTCAGCTCTCCCCTCATTTTATTTCAGGGTATAGACCTGTCCAAACTTGGACTTGACAGCCAAAGAAATTGTCTTGGCCCTTAAACTCCCATAAGGATGTAAGAAAATGAATACAGATGAAAGTGCTATCTTTTTAGTAAACACCTGGAAATCATTAATAGGACTTGACTCTGTGCAGTTCTGACTCAGGGGTCTCTCACTGTCTGCTAACACTGTAAACCTGAACTTGCCCACCCCATCTTGGTCCTGTAGAGAAGCTCTGATTCATAGAACTTGGAGTCTTGTGTAGTACCCAGGCCAGTTCCCTTCCCAACTTAAGGAGACGGGGGCAGGGAGAAGGGGAACGGAATGTGTATATAGGACCAGGAGGAAGAGCAGGTCATTAAGTGACATGTCAGTATGGAGGCCAGTGGTCCTCAGCCCTCCTCTGCATCAGCACCACCTAGAGGGCTTGGTGTGTGGACGACACTTTGAGAACTGCTGTGGCAGGCAGGAATTTGACAAATCAACTTTTTGTTATTCATTTGCAGCATGAATGACAAATGAATATATGTATATATATTCTCTTTTATGCTTTGGCTGCTTTTTAATACATTCTAGAGTCTGGAAAGTCTGTAACATTCCTGTTATTTTTTTCAAAAATTCTTTGAAAGAAAAAGGAAATAATTCATAGTAAAAAGCAGAGTCAGGTAAGTAGTGGTTTTCAATCTCACCTTTAACATTGCCTGTGGAAGTTAAATAGCCACTTAGTTTTCCTGTGCACTAAAATGGGATAATAATGGACTTCCCTGAATCCTGTTATGAGGATAAATGGGAGAAATCCTGTAAAGCTCTTGGAATAGGGCCTGAAACATATCAGGCACTCAAATTCTACCTTTACTGTTGTTAGTACTTGTTTTTTTCTAAGTACATTTTAGAATCATGACCGTTTTTATTATTTAATCTTAATGTGGGCAGTATAGACTCAGACATTGTTTAGTTTTCCCACCCAGTCTTAGTTTATTCAAGACTGTTTTCATGTCCAGCTCAGCTTTGCAACTAGAATGGTGTTTAGCAGAGACTAATTGTCCCCTTGGCTTCTGTGTGTAGAGGTTTGCTGCTGTCATAATGAGGATCCGCGAGCCCAGGACGACAGCCCTCATATTTAGCTCGGGGAAAATGGTCTGCACAGGAGCCAAGAGGTATGAGGAACAACTGCCCACCCCTACCAGACAAAGAATTCAGTATGCAAATCCAGGAAGGATGGCATTAATGTTCTCAAACACGTAGAGGAGCAAAATACTTGGCTGAGGAATTAAGTTCATTAAATGCCAAATTTTGTGTTAAACACATTCAGCCTCATAATACTGGCTTATAACACACTTTACAGTCCCCTCAGTTAAACTGAAGGGGCGTCACTAGGCTGTTACAACTTGTTTTTAAGGTACATTAAAAAGAAAATAAGCTACCGTAGAGATAAAGCCTGTTATACGCCTGGGCGTGGTGTGCTTGTGTGTTTCCCACATTGCCGATAAACAGACAGAACTTTTAAAAGAGGGAAATTAGACATGTCTTGACCATTAGCTTGAGCATTAGCCCAGGCGGCATCCCTTACAAGGCTGGTCTTTCCTGGGTCTCATGCACAGGAAGCCCTGTCCTGCTGTGAGGATGCAAAGCCTTTGACTGTGAAGCTGCGCTTCCTCCTGAGGACTAAAGATGAGCAGTAGCAAAGTGTCCTCCTGAGAGGTTGCGCCCATTTCCCCTCATTCCACAGTCCACAGATGCACTGAGTGTTCATTTTCTCCAGTGAACACGGGGTGTTAATATGTTTGATATTTTCCAAATTAATTGGTAAAAGCTATGTCACTTTAATTGCATTTCTTTGATTTACTAATGAGGCAAATTTTTCATAAGCATATAAACTGCCTGTTGTGTCTTTTGCCCAACATTCTATGAAGATATCTGTCTTTTGCCCAATTTTCTATGATGATATTTAAGTATTTTCACCACCTTATACTGTAAATATTTTTCCCAGATTAATGTCAATGGTGTTTTATAATGGTTTTTCTTAAAAAACACAATTTAAATTTTTTTGTGTATAGTCAGTAAGTCTATCCAATTTTTTTCTGTACAGTTTTAGTGTTGGCTTCATGCTTAAGAAGGCATGCCCCATACACAGTATTATATAAATATTGAGCTCCATAAATTTTTCTGGCCTTTTTCAGGTGCTGCTTTGTACTGAGGAAGGGAAGTTGATGTTTTGATTCCTCTAGAGCTTTCTCTAGATGATGGAGATGTTCTATATCTGTTCTGTCCCGTGTGGTAGCCCCTAGTCACATGTGCCTATTGAGCACTTGAAAGGTAGTTAATAAAATAAAATAAAACTGATTTTTTAAATCATTTTTTATTGAGTATGCTGTTACAGTTGTCCTGATTTTTTCCCCTTTACCCCCCTCCACCCAGCACCTCCCACTCCCTCAGGCCGTCCCCCCACCCTTGTTCATGCCCACGGGTCATGCATTTCAATTCTTTGGCTACTCCCTTTCCTATACTGTATTTTCCATCCCCATGGCTATTCTGTAACCACCTATTTGCACTTCTTAATCCCCTCATCTCTCACCCATTCTCCCACACCACCCCTCCCATCTCTTTATTTTTAACCTTTGGCATTTTAATTATGATGTGTCTTGGGGCGGGTCTCTTTGTGTCCATCTTGTTTGGGACTCTCTGTGCTTCCTGGACTTGCATGTCTAATTCCTTCACCAAATTAGGGAAGTTTTCTTTCATTATTTTTTTATATAGATTTCCATCTTCTTGCTCTTTCTCTTCTCCTCCTGGCACCCCTATGAAGTGAACATTGGATTGCTTAAAGTTGTCCCAGAGGCTGCTTACACCATCCTTATTTTTTTGGATTCTCTTTTCTTCTTGTTGTTCTGATTGGTTGTTCTTTGCTTCCTTATGTTCCAAATCATTGGTTTGATTCTTGGCTTCATGCACTCTACTGCTGTTTCCCTGTAAACTGTTCTTTATTTCAATTAGTGTATCCTTTATTTCTGACTAGATCTTTTTTATGCTGCTGAGGTCCTCACTAAGTTCCTTGAACACCCTTGTAACCAGTGTTTGGAACTCTGCATCTGGTAGATTGCTTATCTCCATTTCATTTAGCTCTTTTTCTGGAGTTTTGATTTGTTCTTTCATCTGGGCCATATTTCTTTGTCTCCTTGTCTTGGCAGCCTCCCTATGTTTGTTTCTAGTATTAAGTAGAGCTGCTTTGTCTTTGTGTCTTCGTAGTGTTGTCTAATATAGTAGATGTCCTGTAGGGTCAGGACACACAGCCTCCCCTATCACTCAAGCTGGGTACTCGAGGTGTGCCCTTTGTGTATGCTGAGTACACCCTCCCCTTGTAGTTGAGCCCTGGTTGTGTTGGCAGATCAATGGGAGGGATTTCACCAGACCAGTCAGCTGCAAGGACTGGCTGTGACCACTGACCACCACCATCTGTCCTCTGTGGAGTATCAGCTGTGCAGGGGCGGGGTGGTGGTACTCTGACACAGTTTGTAGCTGTCCACTGGGTGTGCTGGCCCTGGGGATTTCCCAGGTGGTGCCAGCCAAGGTCATCCCCACTTGTGTTTTGCCTGAGGCCACCCTGCCTGAATTATAAAGCAATCTGAGATGGCTGTTACTTGTGCTGAGTTTGGAAATTCCCAGGAGAAGCCAAACTATGAATCTAGGCTGCTAGTTCTGGGCCTGGGGCTCACTGAGGTTAGCTGTTACTTGTTTGATAGGATTTAGAAAGTTACGAAGCATGAGCCAAGACCAGCCTCATATCAAAAAGCAGCTTGGGTGGGCCCATAATTTGGGTGAGGTGGGGACCTCCAAGGTGGGTCAAACAGCGTTAGCCATGTTGATGGAATCTTAGATATGGCTCTATCTGGATGGATGTGGTTTCTTTAATTCTGTACTTGTTAGACTTCCATTCAATTCGATTTCTCTTGGTTCTGAATAATGGTTCTATATTTTAATTGTAATTTTGATGTGGTTGTGCAAAGAGGCGAGCCGTGTCTGTCTATGCCGCCATCTTGACTGGAAGTGGAACTGAATTTTAAATTTAATTTTAATCAATTTAAATTTAAATAGCCACATGTTGCCAGTGCCTACCATATTGGGCAGAGCAGGTCTAGAATTTTACTTCATTGTAGGATAAATAATTTTTTTCAAATGGCCAATCAGTGCCCCAATACATTTATTGAAGATCCATTCTTACTCCATTCTTCCCAACCCCACCTGTTTTTACAAGTTATGTTTTTTACATGTGTTTGAGTAAGTTTCTAGGCTTTTCTTCTGTTGCACTGTATATTTTTTGACCTAGAAATCCCCATTGTTAAGTCATTACTGGACAACTCTGCAAGATATCTGCAAGGATGTTCATTTCAACATTGCTTAAAATGGGAGAAAACAAATATGTAGTTGTAGAGGTTCGATTAGATCATAAGACAAAATTATATTTAGCCATTGAATGCATGCATGTAGATTGAGTTGGAAGGATTGTCACATCAGGTGAAGTTTGGGGAGGGAAGAGCAGGCAACTAAATTATAGGTTTATTATCCAATTTGCACTTTAAAATATGCTCATATTACACACACACACATTCATGAGTATCTCTCACTACCTGAATTTATTTGGTTCCTAACGTCTGATAGTAAAAGCTTGGATAGTGAGTTCACGTAAAGAAATATTGTTACCCAAATCTACTGGTTATTGAGTTTTGGATAGAGAGCTGTAAACATTTGGTTAGTAGATGAGATATCACAATTATCTCCACAAATTTACCAAATCTATTCTTTTTAGTTAGAGCAACCAGAGTTTTCATAGTGAGGCAGACCTGTGTTTGCATAGGAAAAGTGCAGAAGGGTCAAATTTATCAGTAGTTTTCACCACTGGTTATGACAGTTCAAGGTTCTTAATCTATTTCCTAATGTTTGTACAATAACATTTATACAGTCTTAGTTTTTTGAGCAAAAATTCCTATGTGACATTCATAGCTAATATCCCAAGAAACTACAGAACTATGCAAACTCTTGAAATTTGATCTTACAGGCACATGGGAAATTTAATGGTTCAATTAGGTGAAATGTAGTTTTTCAAACTGGAAACATTTTGTTCCACTGCTAACTTGGGGACATGGCCTTGCTAGGGACATTTCAGGAGTTCAAGATGGGTGAGGAAAATCAACGTGAAGTGTATGAAGGATCCAGATAGAAAAGAAAATCGAATACTTCATTTGGTCCAGCAAACATGTTTAGTCTGGCTTCCCTTTCGTGTGCTTCTGATTTTCAGCTTAAAGATAGGGCTGGCCCACAACAGAGGGCGGCGTCAATCAGGGCTGCCCACCTTGCGGCCTACTGTGGCTCTGGATGCGGCCCAATACAAAATCATAAATTTACTTAAAACATTATGAGATTGTTTTGGGGTTATGTGTTGCAATATATTTAAGGTGTGGCCCAAGACACGCTTCTTCAGTGGGGCTCAGGGGCACCAAAAGGTTGGACACCCTTGGACATGATGCACCCGCCAGGGGTGGCTGCTGTTGGGCAACTCCTGCCACTCACGGCTTTGCTTGGATAGCGACTGTTGAAAAGTACCTGATGAAACCTAAAACCTCAAATATCAGGATTTCACAGTCTCTGACACGGATTTAGGGTTGGAGTAGGGCAAACACTTAGAACAGAGCCATAGAGTTGGAGGAATTTCTTTCTTTCTCAAAAAAAGATATGAGTCGAGTGATAATTGTGTGAGAAAGCCTGAGCGAAATTGGGCAGATTTTGAGGTATTTTCATGTTTTTCTTAATATGTAACTTGCCCCATAAGGGCCCAAGTCCTAACATCATGCACCATGTCTGTGCCTTTCCACTGGCACATGCCCGCCTCATGCTGATTTTTTTATATGCAAAGTGTCCTTATTTTTGTTGCAATTGTTTCCATCTGAATGGCACACACTTTTAGAGCAGATGGATGGTTCTAAAAGTTTAGGGAGCATCACAATCCCTGGAGGGCTTGTTAAAACACGGAGTGCTGGGCCCTGCCCCCAGGGTGCCTGCAGGTCTGAGGTGGGACCTGGGACTCTGCATTTCTAACAAGTTCTCAGGTGGTGATGCTGCTGCTGCTGGTCTGAGGACACACTATGGGAATCAGTGGAATAGTTAATCTATCTAAAAGCACTTAAAACTAGTAAGAGAAAAAATTTACATGTGATAAATGTCAAATAAATGTCAAATTTAGACAAAAATCTGTTTATGATTCAGTTCAACTGTACATTGCACCATACCTTTTAATAGGTGCAAGGGACAAGAGTCGAGGACACAGGTCCTCGTCCTGCAAATCTCCAGGTTCGTAGTATACTTGTAGAGTGAAAGAGAAACATGTACAAATGGTAGAAATACAGTCAGAGAGGTGTGTGAATATAGCTGGAGTCCCATGGAGGATACGATGATTAGTCATCTTTAAACACATTTGCCCCTCCCCAGTGAAGAGCAGTCTCGACTTGCAGCAAGAAAATACGCCCGTGTGGTGCAGAAGCTTGGGTTCCCCGCCAGATTCCTCGATTTTAAAATTCAGAACATGGTTGGAAGCTGTGATGTGAGATTTCCCATCAGGTTGGAAGGCTTGGTGCTAACTCATCAGCAGTTCAGTAGGTATGATCGTTACATAACAACTTGGTGTTCACCAGCATATTAAAGTTGTATTATGGGCTGCTTTTACAATGTATCTTTTAGAGGAGTATAATATTTCTGGTAAAGGCACAATACATGACAGGCCTAAGATGCTATGCCTAAGTCCTCATCAGTTACAATATAGGTCCAATCTCTTGGAATAATGGTTCTTAAATTAAGATGAGTGGTAATCATCTGGACAGCTTATTAAAATACATTTCTGCCTGGGCTGTAACAGCAGAGATTTTGCTTGAATTTGCAGTTCTAATGTTATAGCTCACAGGTGATGCCAATGGTACTGGACAGTGGCCCACACAATGAGACCCACTGATGTGTAGATTTCTAAAACAGTACATCTGACTTGGGGGTGAGAGCAAGGGAGGGAAGGACAAGGGGTGTGAGATGGGGTAGGCAAGGCAGAAGGGGCTGAACAGCTGGTGAGGGGAGAAAGGGTTCAAGAAAAGGTGAATCCCGTCTAGTTTTTGTCCCGTTGGGTTGCTTGAGGGTTTTGCTTGTATGTGTGTAGCTGTAGGCCAGCACAGTTTGTTCTGTAGTGTATTCATGTTCTCAGGGGAGTAGTTCCAGCTGGCCTGGCTGCTTTAAATGCAACTTTCCATCTCAAGAGCAAATGCTGGTGCTGGTGCTGTTGCTGCTGCTGCTGCTGCTGCTGCTGCTGCTGCTGCTGCTGCTGCTCCTGCTGCTGCTCCTCCTCCTCCTCCTCCTCCTCCTCCCTCCTCTCCCCTGTCCCTTTCCCCCCACCTCCCTGACCTGTCCCACCCTCCTTCAGCTACTTTGGTGCTTCTCCCATCCATTTGAGATCCTTAGAGAACAGTGATGGAGGTTGACTGGTCAACACCGAATCTCACCACCTGTTGGGATATACTCTTGGGCCCGGGCACTTGAACTGGCTTAGAATCACGGATGCCCTGCATCTAGCTTGAACTTAAGTCCTTTCGTTCTGACACTTTTCCTTCCCTTTGCCTTTGAGCACTCATGCTGTTTAATAGAGGATGTGGATCATAAAGCTGTGCTTTCTCTAACATTTGTTGACTTTCTTTTGAGACATGATCTGAACAGAAGTTAAAAATTGCTTTGTTTTCCCATAACATTTTAACATTTTTAGTTCATTCTGAGATTTAGCTTTTTCTAATATTCTTCAGGCAATGTTTAATTTCCCCTTGATTGTATTTCCTTTTTTTCTCTGCGTCAATTTTTTTCCACATCTGCTTATTGAGTACCCAGGATGTATCCGCTGGGTTCACTTGAAAGCCCCCCCATGCAAGACATTGCATCTTTAGGTATTTTTTTCTTTCTTCAATCTTGTGATAATTTGTAGGTTCATAGTAAAATCTTCACTTTTAAGAGTTTCTTAACACATAAGCCATCTTATCTTCCAGGTTCTCAACAGTGGTCCTCTAGTCTGTCTTTCTGTGAACCAGCTTTTTCTGAACATAGGGAAGATCTCTACCTGAATTCTAATTAGACTTAGCATTCCCCTTTCTGGCCAGTTAGGCCTCTAAAGTGATGCGTGCAATTCCTCCTAAATTTCATTTCATCTCTGTTTCACCAACACTGCAGGTCAGATTTAAATCTAGAGCAGGAGTACCCCTTGTCACTGCTGCCACCTCCTGAAAGACAGCAGGGCCTGTCGGGCAAGGAGGGAATTCACTGGATGCACTGCTTTTAGCCTCTTGGAGTGGGCCTGTTGCTCTTCTGTCTTCCTTCTGAGCCAGTTTTATGATCTCATCCATTTCTTAAAATTTTAATTTGGCAAGGAAGCTCACTTTGCATTCCCACAGCTACTTCATTCTAGCCTCGTTCTGGCCTCTCCCAAACGCTCCCCATCCGGCCGCCATCCTCAGGTTATGGATGACAACTCCAGTGTGTGCATTCATGACGTCATGGCACACACCAGTTCCAATTATCAGATCAAGTTTGCCTGATAGTAAAACCTCAAATTCATTTGATTTTCCAGGTTCTACAAATCTGTATTTATCAGCGTTTGATAATACTGGAATGTTCTCCATCGATCTCCTTATGCTATGATCATTTTCCATTTTCCCTGAGCATTTTTCTACCTTCTCTTTAATTGTAAAGGCAATAATAAATATCTTGATAATATTTCTTAAATGAGTAAAATCTAGGTGGCTACTGTGTAGCAGATGCTACAGTGACAGTGCCCATCAATACAGCATGATTCCTTGCCCTCCTGGAGTTCACTGTTTGACGGGGAAAACACACAAGCCAAAGACAATAAAGAAATAGGGTAACTATGAAAGGTGAACCCCCTCCCTTGGAGTGCTCTGGTACCATCAGACAGGAGAGCGATACTGGGGAGGCGTGTAGGTCAAGGAAGACTTCTTAAGGGAAGTGACATTTAAGCTGATACTTGAACAATTTGGATTGGCCGAGACATTGGCAGCTGTTAGTTATTCCCAGTCCTCAGGAAGTGTTCTTCATCTCTAACCAAAACCTCTTTTTCTTTTTCCTACCTCAACCTTCTTTTGAAATGAAGCCACAGAATAAAAATGAAATAAGTCTTTAATCAGGAGATCATTTGGTTGGCATCTTAAAACTATGGTTCAGAGAAAGCCGAATGCAGGTCACTATTATTTACATACTTTCTTATTCTCTTTTCCCTCTTAGAGCCCTAAGATTCAGCTGGAGAGTCAAATGGAAACATTCCTTCTGGGCCCCTAGCCTCGCTTTCTTGGCTCAAACCTCGTAGCTCCCATGGGGTGTTCCAAGGCTCCAGCTGGTCTCATGGTCTCCCTCGTGTGGGGAAGCGGTTAGTGGGTAGGAGTCTGGACAGGCACGCTGCAGTCGGGTAGTGTGATGTTGTAGGGCAACCCACAGCAACCTCCATGTACCTCAGAAGGGTCGCCACTCTGACACCTCTTTCTGGTGTCAGTCAAAGGTTTCACATCTTCTGTTGTTGGAGTCTTTGCAGAATGGAATGAAGTTTTCCACGTTGTCTGGACTCACCCCTTAAGTGCAGTGATTCAGGAATATTCCAATGTTCCAGTTCTCAAATATCTTCTTTCTCTTCTATCTGTTCTCCATTAGCCATTGTTTGGAGAATAGTTTTATTTTATCAGCTTCCTCTTCCTGACCTTTTTTTGTGGCCTCTGCAAGGTTTTCCAGTTCTCTCTCCTCTTCTTTATGCTGGAGTGTGGAGAAGCAGTTCTTCGCCCTATTATCCATTGCTCTGTGAAGCAGCCAGCTTACTATTTAGTGGTAAATGAGAGTGAGTTACTATGTGTAGGAACAAATCCTGAATTTTCAAAACTCGGGATAGTTTAGTTTTCTTTCCTTATACAGTACCTGTCCAAAGACAAGTAACAGTGGTTCTATCTCCTTAAGTTTATAGGCTCCATCTGCTAAAAAAGATAACTTTATCAGTTTATAAATGCATACAAAATATGCTCATTGTTGGGGGAACTTGGAAAATGTAGAAAATGTGTTTATGGATTTTTATTGACAGACTTTTTTTGAAAGATGGTGAACATTTAACCAAGAAAATCTGATGCCTTAAGTTACCTTAATTTCTAAAAGCTTGGGATGACTTGCACTTGAAAAAAAAATCACGACCCAAAATGCATTCTGTCCTTGACTGGCACAAGAAATTACCTAGGACACTCAAGACTACTTTTATCAAGATGGCCAATACATGTTTAGCAAAATAGCTTTTTCACTATGCTTTAATATGCAGCTTTAATAATTACTGGGTCTTGAATATTATAAGAAAATAGTCAAAGAGTGCTGATTTTAACTTTTTCCTTTTCTATCTTAATAGTTATGAACCTGAACTGTTTCCTGGCCTTATTTATAGAATGGTAAAACCACGAATAGTGCTGCTTATCTTTGTATCTGGAAAAGTTGTGTTGACAGGTAAGTTCTAAAGTTATTTTCTGACTTTTACAAAATTCAATAGCTGTGTGTGTGCTTTGCTTTTCCTCTTAAATAGCTTTGTTCACTATTATAGAATGAATACCTGAAAAAAATGAAAAATAGAAAGGAATGTAACTTCACCCATCAGTCCCAATACTTGAAACAATGTAACTTTTTCATGTTTTTGTCATTTTGACATGTATATTCATCTTTACATCCTTTTTATTAACCATTGTAACGCATGTAACTTAACTCCTCCTTACAAACTCTTTATGAAGGTTTTTAACAGCTGCACAATGTTCTCCCAGAAAGGTCAGCAGACTATTTTCTGTGAAGGACCAAATACTAAACATTTCAGGCTTGCACACCACTGGGTCCTTGTTGTCACAACTGAACTATGCCATTTTAGTGCCAAAATGTCTCAAGGCATTATGTAAAGGAGAGGGCTCTGAAATGTGAAATGTGAATTAATAATTCATATTAATTTACATGTGTCATGTAATAGTCCCCCTTTAAAAAAATTTTTCCCACTCATTTAAAATATAAAACTCATTCTTAGCTCGCAAGCTATGCCAAAACAGGCAGCAGACCAGGTTCAGCCAGCGGGCTTAACTTTCCTGACCTCTGTTCCAACGTGTCATTGCACCAAACTGACTCTCCCATGGTCAGGGGTTTTAATGTTCCTTCTTTGTTTGCTGCTTATAAATGGCACAGACAGTTGGCTATTTTTATGTGAAAAGAATTATTTTATTTTGGATGCGCAGAAATGGAACTGTGTCTAAAGATATGCCAATTTTTAAGGTTCTCTGTACAAATTACCATGCTGTTTTTGAAGAGTGAGACAGTACAATTCTATACCATACGCTCCTATCAGCAGTATATCGAAGTATCTTCTAAAAATTCTCAGCAGCAATCAAAAACAAAACAAAAACTTTTTTTTTTTACAGGAAATGTTTTTTGTAAAAAAGAAAACGTTTTTACAAGTGGAAATTATCTCACTGCTTTAACCTCACTGGTACCCGAAAATAGAAATTGATCGCTTTCACTACGTCTAATAAAGACCATGTTATCTTTTGTAAATAACTTATTCCTATTGTCTTAACTTAACTTAGTTTTTATTAGTTTTTAATAATCTCTCTCTGAAGGATTTGTATGAGTTTACCATAATATTAAAAATAATTACCCTTTGTTATATTTGTGACTTTTTCCAGTTGAGTTATTTTTACATAAAGATGAGTTTTTAGAATTCTTGAATAGCTGAGATTCTTTTTTCTATACCATTCTACTGAAGTTTGCTATTTTTGTCTATTTTTTACACATTTTACTCTTCTCTGCCAAAATGAATGCCAAGTTTATATGGCATGAGCCAAGCTGATCTCCATACTCCATCCTGAAATAGTTAGCCAGCCATCTGAATGCTGCATACTCTTCCCTCCTTATTAATTTGTGATGACCCCTTCTGACCTTTATTTTTTTATGTATGTGTCTGGTCTCCAGCTCTGCCTTTACTCCAAAATTATATACTATGATAATCCTATGAAAACACCTGTGTGGTCATTTGTGCACCATCTTCATAATCTTGTCAGCTGAGAAATGATAAATACTCTTAGCGGTGTGGTGGCTGAAAAGATGGACTGCGCAGGCCGCTGTCCAGTTTGAATCCAGGCTTTACCATTTGTTGGCTATGTGACCTTGAGTGAGTTTAAGTTCTCCACCTTGATTTCCACATATGTAAAATGAAGGTGGTCGTAGAAAATACTTGCTAAGTGTTATGAGGAAACAAACAGTGCCCGGCCTAGGTAAGCAAAGCATAAATATTAGCTCTTACTTTTCTCGGTGAAAGCCCACTCTCCTTGCTTTTTACCCTGGCGTTGAACAGGACTGGAGGTTTTCTGTGATGCCTTGTCCTGATCATAGGACTATGGAGTCTAATGAGGCTTTAGTAAGATGCTTCACATTTATTTCCCTCCAGCATAGAAGAGTGAGAAGCTGGGTCTTTGTTACTGGGGGTCACCCTCAATCAGGTAGATGTCAGCGGTTCTTGAAAACAAGTAGGTCAGAGAGCAGCATAAAAATGGCAAGACTGACTTGATTAGTGAGTAGGCCAGGGGGAGACCAGAATAGTCCTGTCAATCGTTACTGGTAATCTCCCAATAATATACTGTAAAATGCATATCTTTAGGGGTTTATTGCTGTTTTTCTCAATTTGTGATTTTCGTGTATGTGTGTGTGAGAGAGAGAGAGAGAGAGAGTTCACTTGGGAAAATAAGATGTGTAGTTATGACTTGGTATAAGAATAGAATTAGAATATCCATGTAATATTGAAAATTAATATTTGATAAACTTTGAGGTATACATTCTGTTTTAGCTGCTGAGGATATAAAAGCACACTCCCCAACTGGCAGGAACCCAGCCCTGGTGAAGGAGACAGGCATAAACAAGTTACGTGATACCGCCTCTTACAGAACCAAATGATGAGCCATGTGTGCTTGGACCAGCCACCCCAAAGTCCCTAACTCTGAAGTGCTGCATGTTCTTCCAGAGCAATGGAAATGGCTTAGATTTTGTAAAATAAGGTTCACAAATGACCTCTTATAAACCTTCCCTCACTTAACCCTTTATAACAACACTTTGGGAAAGGTATCGTCCTTATTTTTCAGGTAAGGAGACTGAAACTCAGAAGATAAACAATGTGTCCATGATTTCAGAGCTAGTTAGTAGTAGAGATGGCTTTTGAGCTCATATCATTTTGATCTCAAAGCCAGTTTTTTCTCTCATGTACCAGCCACAGAATTTCCACCTCAGTCACCAAGCTTAGGGATTTATCCCCCAAAGTGGTGGTCATTATAACCTGGAGGAAAGGACTAGTAAGTTTTGCTTAAAAGGGGACAGTCATCTAGTCAGAGTTTAGTGCTACTTACTGGGATGTTTGATTATTGACTGATTATTAAAAAGGAGTATGGGGTCAGTTTAGGGTCCCTTAAAATTTTTTTGCTACTTATATATTTTAAATGTATTTTTCAATTACAGTTGACAAGCAATATTAGTTTTAGGTGTACAATATAGTCGTTAGACATTTGTATACCTTATGAAGTGATCACCTTAAGTCTAGTACCCATCTGACACCATAAATAATTATTACAATATTATTGACTATATTCCCTATGCTGTGCTTCACATCTCCAAGGCTGTTTTTATAACTGGCAATTTGTGCGTCATAATTCTTTTCACCTTTTTCACTCATCCCCTGACACCCTCCCATCTGGCATCCATTAGTTTGTTTCTGTTTGTTTGTTGTGTTTTTTAGATTCCATACAAAGTGAAATCATATGGTATTTGTCTTTCTCTGTCTGATTTATTTCACTTAGCATAATACCCCCTTGGTCCATCCATGTTGTCTCAAATGGCAAGATTTCATTCTTTTTTATTCCATCATATATATGTACAACAACTTCTTTATCTACTTGTCTATTGATGGGCACTTAGGTTACTTTCGAATCTTGACTATTGTAAATAATGCTGCAGTGAACATAGGGGTGCATATATCTTTTTAAATTAGTGTTTCAGATTTCTTCAGATAAGTACCCAGAGTAGAATTGCTGGGTCACATGGTAGTTCTAGTTTTAATTTTTTAAGGAACCTCCATACTGTTTTCCATAGTGGCTTCGCCAATTTACAATCCCACCAACAGTGCGCTAGGGTTCCCTTTTCTCCACATCCTTGCCAACACTTGTTTATTGATTTATTGACGATAGCCATTCTGACAGCTGTGTGGTAATATCTCATTGTGGTTTTTGTTTGCATTTCCCTTATGACTAGTGATGCTGAGCATCTTTTAATGTGTCTGTGGGCCATCTGTGTATCCTGTTCGTAGAAATGTCTATTTATGTCCTCTGTCCATTTTTTAATAGGATCATTTGCTTTTTTTGATGTTGAGCTGAATGAGTTCTTTATACAGTTTAGCATTTACCCTTAATTGCATATATTATTTACAAATCTCTCTTCCATTCAGTAGTTTGATTTTTTTTGTTTTTGTTTTGTTTTATTTTGTTTTTTGATACCTGTTCTTGTTTATTTGTTACTCTTAGAAACTCCTTTTTGACCAGACTCAGCGGTCGAAGCTCTCAGAGAGGACAGGCTATGTCTCCTGGCTCTCTGTTCCTGGCATTTTTCTTTGGCCTCCTTCATTCTCTTAGCTAAAAGTTTAGCATGTTCTGCAGACTCTTCCTTATTTTTCTTAGTATGTTGTTTGTTCAGAGCAATAGGATGATATTTGTGGTGCAGGATGGGTAGAGGAACAAGACGCTGAATCTTGGGTGCTTTGGTCCTAGGTTTCTCACCTTTTCTGTTTAGGGGCTTTCTCCCAACATATTGGCGGACATTGTTTTCTTTAGAGAGATTGAAAAGTTTGCCAATTCTGCTAGGTTTTGTGGGCCCTGGGCAACAAGGCACCATAGTATCAGTGAGACCAGGAGTATCTTTCTCCCCCACTCCACCCCCCCTTTTTTTTTTACAAGACCAAGCTGAGAACACTGAGGTTGGCATTGCCAATGGAACCCTGAACAGATTTGCACTTTCTCTCCTCAGTCCTCCTTGGTCCATAACAGGAACGCCCCTTGCTCGGCAGCAGGCGGACATGGCCATGGGTCAAGACACCCTACTTGATGGGGAAACCTCGTTATTCCCACCCCTGATTCGAACCACATAACCCTTCCATTCTTCACCCACAGCACCAGCAGCAACTTCTGTGGCCCTGCGCTTCTCCTAAAACGGACAAAGGCTGCGTTCATCGTTCACTTCAATGCGTTTCTGGCAGCCAGTGGCCGGGAAAGAAATGTTCAGCTTCATCCTGAAGCAGCCAGCTGCCTCAAGGGCACCTTGAAAAAGAGGGCTGCCCTTTTGTTTTGTTGGTGGTTTCCTTCATGGAGCCATATTTTATGGCTTCAGGTCTTACATTTAACTATTTAATCCATTTTGAATTTATTCTTGTGTACAGTGTAAGAAAGCGGTCTGTATTCATTTTTTTACACGTCTGTCCAATCTTCCCAACACCATTAATTGAAGAGACTGTCTTTACCCCATTGTATATTCTTGCCTCCTTTGTCATAGACTAATTGACCAGATAGGTGCAGGGTTATTCCATTGATCTATGTGTTTGTTTTTATGCCAGTAGCATGCTGTTTTAATTACTATAGTCTTGTGGTATAGTTTGATATCAAGTAACATGAGACCAACACTGATCTTTCTCAAGACTGCTGTGGCTACTCAGGGTCTTTTGTGGTTCAGTATAAATTTTAGGATTATTTGTTCTAGTTTGGTAAAAAGAAAAGACAAGACATTGATATTTTGATAGGGCTTGTATTGAATCTGTAGATTTCTTTGAGTTCCCTTACAGTTTTGGTGCCAGTAATTTCAGAGAGGAAATATTCGATTATATTGGCCAAATCTGCTCACTTTAACACCCAGTTACAAACCCTGGCAATGTTTATTTGACAACTTTTGGTGTAAAAGAAGGAACAGTGGATATATGAAGTCTTCTCCCATAGCTGCTATTCAATATTCAAGAAAACTTCAACTTCTTGGGCCCCAGTATTCCCTCTTATGGAGTGAAAAAATTGTACCAGATAATCTCCCTAAAGTGCTTTGTTTCTAAATGTTTCCATGATATAAAATAATGATCACTCTCAGTGTCTGGTCCCTCTTGGGTGATAGGTGTTTTCACTCCCCAGGGGATACCAGAATATTACAGTCTTTGGGTTTGAATGCAATGCTCTTAGGGATTTTTTTTCTTTTAAGCATTATGATACAACTGAAGTGTGTAATTATCCAAAATTCTGGATCTAGACACTCTGTTCCTCAATGAAATGTAAAAAGGACCTTATTTTGGTATTTTCAGAGCGTGGGTTGGGGAATGGGAGTGTGTTTGTTATACATATGTCTCCATTTCCTAAAAGAAGATTCTTCCATTCAAATGTATTCAGAAGCCAAAAAAGTCCATCAAACCAGAGGCAGAGAGTTTGATATACTGGTGTTTTATTTCTTCCCCAGTTTACTCTTTGGTTTCTACAAAACCATTCTCTCTAGAAACTAAGATTTTAGTGCTATAACAAATATCTGCTGAGACTTATGGGGTTTCTCCTACCTCAACGATACAGTTTCTCTGCTGTGTCAGGAACTCCTCCTCCTCCCTGTCCCGCACCTTTGAGGGTGGAGACTCACAGATAGTAAACTCCTTGGCAACCAATAACTAATTTTTCCCCCTTTATATCTCAAATGTAATTGAAGCTCATAAAGACTTCATCCTTCATTCTTTAAACACATTTGAAAAATTTATTGAAGTAGAATTCACATAAAATTAACCATCTTAAAGTGAGCAATTCAGTGGCATTAAGTACATTCACAATATTGTACAACCACCACCTCTGTCTAGTTCCAAAACATTTCCATTTCTCCAAAGTAAAATCCCGTATCATTAAGCAGTCCCTCCCCGTTCCCCCTCGCACTAGCCCCTGGTAACCACCAATCTGCTCTCTCCCTGGATTTATCTATTCTTGTTATTTCACGTAAACAGAATCATACCATATGTGACCTTTTGTGTCTGGCTACTTTCAGTTAGTTTTTAGGTTCATCTGCATTGTAGCATATATCAGTACTTAATTCCTTTTTATGGCTGCATAATATTCCATTGTGTATATATACCATAGTTTGTTATACACTGAGTTTGTTATTTCCCTTCTTGGCTGTTTTGAATAGTGCTGCAATCAACAGGTTTATGTGTGTTATTTGGGTACCTGCTTTTATTTTGGGGGAGATATGTACCCAGGAGTGGAATTGTTAGTTCATGTGGTAATTCTTATTTTAACTTTCTTGAGGAACCACAAAATTGTTTTCTATAGTGGCTGAAACATTTTTACATTCCCATCAGCAATGTCTGAGGGTCCCAGTTTCTCCATATCCTTTCCAATGTTTACCATTTTCCATTTTTAAATTATAGCTCATCTTTGGTTCCAAATCTTGATTTCTACCTTCTTCTCAAATCTTATGATCTTCCTTTTGGTAATTCCCTGTGATTTGTCCTGTAATTAACCCAGACTTCTTAGAGGTTATTTCTGCTCTCTTACTGAGCCTTCCTCCTCTCTAACTTTGTAGCTCTCAAGGAAGCTTTTATCAACGTAAGCTATTTTCTATTCCTCTTCATGCCAAGTTTTTATATCTATTTCATTAACCTCCTTGCATCCTTCCTAGAATAGTATCAGATAATAATGTCCTGATTAGCAGACAGTTCCATACACATACGTGATCCCAGGCTGTAACACTTAGCACATTGTGCCTGCGTCGCTTTGACGGTGCAGGTAGCTAGTGGTGGTGAGAGATGAGTGAGACTAACTGGTATCTCTCACGGGTGGGGACCATGTCTAATTCATGTTTTTATTCCTTTAACTCCTAGAGCGGTTTGTTACAATTAAAGATCTCTTAAAATTAAAGACTCTTAAGGGTGACAGTGGTATTGGGTTGGCCAGAAAGTCCCTTTAGTTTTTTTTTTTTTCTGTAAAATAAAACACACACTTTTAATTTCTCCTGCTATTGGCTTCAACTGGATAGAGATCGGGCATACTGCTAACCATCTTCCAACGCATAAGACAGCCAGCCCCACAGCAAAGAATTATTTGGCCAAAATGTCAATAGTACCAAAAACTTTGCAAACCACTTCTCACAGGTTCGATCAGTCACAGCACTTTCTCCATACACTGCCCAGATCTTTTTTTGCCTTTCAGTTGCATTTTTCCATTTCTTGAAATAATAAAGCATAATATACTGAAAATGTTCCCTATTTTCTTCCATTTTCAATATTAACATGGCTGCACAAAAATTCACTAATTTTGATGTTTTGTTAAATGCACACTGAGATGGCAACTGTCACAACGCAATCTAACAAAATTGTTTCAAATGAAGTTAAAACATAAGTAAGCACTTCTAGAGCCATCTTACAGACAAAACTAAACAAACTTTTTGGCCAACCCAATACAGTTTTTCCCCTCTAATAATCCCTTCCCATACATTGACATTTACAACTCTAGCTCCAGTTTGTTAGATAACATTACGGAATCAAAATTTTAACTAGGGATGAATGGATCAAAGGAAGTCCCTTTTGCTGGTAGCTGAATGCCTACAGATGCTGATGAAAGATCCTGTTCTGGCATTATATTCATGGCACGCTTAGAAATAACATTCCATATTTCATACTGAGCCCTGCGTGGCAAAAGGTGATCTGATATGCCCACATAGTGGAAGTACTAGAAGACTCTGCTCTAGGGTGTGCATTTGTGGAAGTGTGGATGTAATCACCGAAATTCTGTCTTCACCAGGAATAAATGTCACTTTTCAGGTATATCTAAAGAGATGTCATCGTATTAAAAGTAATTGGGGATGACAGTAAAATTTTATTTTTTTAAGATTTTATTTTTATTTTTAGAGAGAGGGGAAGGGAGGGAGAAAGAGAGGGAGAGAAATACTGATCAGTTGCTTCTCATGGAACCTGCGATCTAGGCATATGCATTGACTGGGAATTGAACCAGCGACCTTGAGCATTGCAGGATGATGACCAACCAAGCCACACCAGTCAGGGCGACAATGAAATTTTAGTCTGAAGAAAAATTTGGAAATGTTCTTATATTAAAGATTATATAAACTTGGGTTTTCTTTACAGGTGCCAAAGAACGTTCTGAGATCTACGAAGCATTTGAAAACATCTATCCTATTCTAAAGGGTTTTAAAAAAGCCTGAGTAATATCATTCAACATCTCACATTATATTGGTTTGAGTATGTGTGTAAGCTCAGCACAGGAAACAGCTGGATTTTTCTACCTTTAATTGTAGATGTTCCATGCAAGTTTTGACTTTACTTATAAAAGGGTGATTCTGTGTGAGTAACCATGCCTAAGAAATGAAGAAAACTTCCTATTCAAAATGACTTATATGTTATTTCTAAAACCAAATAAGTAAGCTTATTTAGAATGTGAGAGAGTTAGGGCCTTGCTAGAATGATGTTGTAGCATCATTAAAATTTAACATTCTGCTCCTGTTAAAGATGTAGTGCATAATATGTTCTCTGAAAATGCACACTGCTATATAGAAATTTCAAATAACTGCATAAAATAGATACTATCTGTAATATCTAGCAGGATAGAAATTAATGTCTATTTTTTGTCTTAAAATATTGAATTAGATGATCCTAGCTATTAGGTACAGGCACTGTGAAGGATCCTGTCAGAATACAAATGAAACATGAAAGTCGGAAACCTTAAAAAAAAAAAATCAAATGTTTTTCTTGTTTGTATGAAATGATCAAGTTATTTCTCTTAAAAATAAAAATCTTAAACTTTCAGGAACCATTCAGGTTTATTTTAAGTTCTATTTTAAAACAGTATGGGGAATTTTTGCTTTTTTGTGTAACTTTATAATCCTAGGTAATTGTATTGCAACAGACCAGATAAGACTAAGCGGGTGGAGCAAAGGGTTTAGATTCAAAACCTAGTTAGTTTGTGGAATCATTAGCTTTTGATGGAGATGTGGAGGTTAACGAGGGATGAGGCTAATGTGACTCATGGCCCAAGTGGTAGTGATTATGTCTTCTACCAAGAGAAGGAAACATTTGTGAGGGCGGAGAGTTCTGTTTCCAACATGCTGAGCTTGTTGTGGCTCCCGTACATCACTTGATGCCTAGCAGGCAGCTATAAATCTTTAGGTATGAACTTGGGAGAAAATCCCTGCTAGAGAGGGAATTTAGGGCAGTAGTCATCAATTGACTGTCTTCCAAAATAATCTTTGAAAATCCCTGGTCTAGATAATTTGACCCATATGCCCACTTTTCTTTTTCCCTTCTGTGCATTACAGCCATATTAAAAAACTGATTACTCTGATAGAATCTTCTGACCTATACGCTTTTTACCTCTCCCTGAAAAAGAAACAAGAGTAATCCTATCTAGGTTAAATCGTATCTAGTTCAAATTCTTCCTCAGAGCGTGGCCCACACAGAGTAACTGGGGGTGGGAGGGGAGGGCGTAATGTTGGCCATTACTTTCATTAAAATTCTCTTTTCAGAAAGATGTAAAATTGATTTCCACATTTACTAGTATGATTGTTTCCACTGGTTAGTTTTTAAAGGTAAAAAACTATTATCAGGTTACTATTAAAAGTATTTGCTCAGGAATTCTCACGACGTTGGTTAAGTAGGCACTTCTCCATTTAACAGGTGAGAACACAGGCCAAGGGAGGATAGGAATTTGCTCAAAACCCCGCAGCTGTTAAGGAAGTAGGTGAGCCAAAATTAAACCTCATTCCAAGACCCAGGGGTAGTTTAGCCAAACTTTAAAGCATCCGTAGAGAATTTAAGAAAATCCCTTTTTTTGTTCCCAATCCGTTTTCCCGGAATCCTTGGGGCACAAATTAGAGGCATTAACCAGTAGTCTCGGCACGACCCAGCGACGATGGCATTTTGTTTGGCTGACCGGACCCTCCAACGTGCTTCCGCTTCGAGAGCCGCTACCCCTTCCAGCGGACACCGCACAGGTAAAGCAACTACGTCGCCCGCCCTCGCTGAAGCTGCTCACCAGTCTCTCCAGGCCCCCGCGCGAGCTCCCACCGCCTTTCCAGGCCCCTCCTCACGCCCCTCCTCCTCGCCCAGGATGCATCTGGTTGAAAACAAAATCCCACGTGACTGACTCTGCTCTCAGGCTATCATGGCGTCTCCCAGTGGGAAGGGAGCCCGGGCGCCGGAGGCTTCTGGATGCGGGCCCCGGCCACTCGCTGGAGACTTGGTGGACTCGGTGGACGACGCGGAAGGGCTGTACGTGGCGGTCGAGCGGTGTCCGCTATGCAACACCACCCGCCGGCGGCTGACTTGCGCCAAGTGCGTTCAGAACGGCGATTTTGTCTACTTCGACGGCCGCGACCGTGAGAGGTACGGGGGCCGCCACGGCCCTATTGTTTCTTCCCCGGCTGTCTCCTCCGGCTCCGCGCGGGAGGCTGGAGGTCGGAGCCTGGAGGCTGAGGCTCAGGTGTGGACCCCGGAATCCCGCGGGAGGAGGGGGAGATAGGAAGGGTAGCTAATTTGCTCCCAGGGAACAGGGTCGTGGTTGGGGGCTGGATTAAGAAAAGTCGCCGTTTCCCCGTAATCCTCTCGAGAAGAATCTGACCCCACCGTGTTCCTGGGTACTAGTGAAAATGGATAGATGGTGACTCTAGACAAGTTTGCCCCTGTTGCTGCCTTATAGTTGGATTCTCGAACTTGGCTGCACTCCCATTCAAAGCTTGGTTTTAACCTTTCCCTGTCTTCGAAAAACATTCATTCTCTAGAGGAGAGACCAGAAAGAAATCAAGTAACTGCTTAAGAGGGATTCGAGCCCGGGAGGCCTGTGCCACAGCTGGATCTTATCAGACCTGCTTACTCTGTGTGAACTGGGACTAGTTAGTTGTTCCCTGACTTTTTTTCGATGCTAAGGACTTTGGGGATGTCTTGTGGCTTTGTTTTAAAATTCAGACTAGGAGCTGTAAGCCCTTAGTTAAGAGAATTGAATTTAGGAATGCGTTTTGGCCTTGTTTGGAAATCAAAACAGCTAGAGGTCCTTGATTAAGATAATTGAAGAATTAGTGTGTTTGGTTAGTGTGAAGGGTTTCTCTCTCCCAACTTTTGTTTGCATAATTTAGCGGGAATAAAAGTAAGATAGCCAGATTGTTGATCGCAGAAGTTCAGGTATTAATTAACTTACAACAGCCCAATAAGTTGTTATCCGCAACTTACTGCTGAGGAAATTGCACAGTAAGTGCCGTCACCTAGGTCACACAGGTAAATGTAGAGACCAGAATTAAGATCCAGGCATCCTGAGCCCATACACAATGCGCTTAATCACTCGTTTGTACAACCTCTATATTTGGAAGTGTTTCCCGTTCCTAGTATTCCCCTGATTATGAATGGAGTTCGATTCTTTTTTTCTCTTTTGAGATTTGTAGGATATAATCTTTTTGATTTCACTGCTGTGTCTCATTGAAGCATTGAATGACTTTAGAAACTAGTAAGTGGTGGCTTTAAAAATTAAACCCGGTTTTTAATTATAAGAATACTAGGAATGAGATGGAAATTTCTAACTGATGGAGGTTTTCAAGGGTTCCGTTCTGGACCCTCCATGTATGTTTTCCTACATCTGTTCTCATGACTTAAATAGCATCTGTATGCTGAAGACTGCCAGGATGTATCTCCAACCCAGACCTCTCTGGAACCAAGAAAAAAGCTGCCTGCTCAACATATATATATTTAAATTTGTAACCAGCATCTTTATCTTGGCAAACTGAATTTATTATTTTCCATCATAAATCTGTTCCTCCTATACCCTTGCCAACCCAGTGAATGGTAACCTCATTCTTCAGTAAGGTCAAAAAAAAACTATCAGTCTTCCTTGACTCCTTTCTTAAACCCACCCTAATTAATCCCATCAACAAATTCTATCCACTCTTCAAAACCTAAGTCCTTTTTGTCACCTCCTGGGCAGATCCACCAAAAGAGTATTGCCTCTTGGGCCCCCGCTTCCACCTTTACTCCCTCATACTGTCATTTCCATGTTGCAACCAGAGTAACACCTCTCCTCCATTCCTCTTAGAAATCTTTCAGGGGGTTCCCAAAAGATTTTGCCCGAAAGTAAAAACGCCAAAGTCCTTATCCAGAGTTCTGCAGTGCCTGTTCTCCTCTGATCCGTTATTTTCCTTGACGCACTCCGCTACACCACCCGGGCCTTCCCTTGCCAGTCCTCAGACATTCCAAGAACACTCCTCCTGCCTCATGGCATTGCAGTCTTATTCAGACTGCCAGGAGCTCTTCCCCCAGAAATCTTCAGGGCTGCTTCCTTTGTTTCCTTCAGGCCTCTGCTCATTTATTAAAGAAACTCTTTTTGACCATTTAGTTAAAATAGTAACCTCTTTCCCTAAGTTACCTACTTTATTGTGTTCCATAACACTTATCACCATCTATGGCTTACATATTAATATGTCTAACTGCTTTCCACTCCAGTGAGGTAAGCTCTATGAGGGCAAGACTTTATCAGTTTTGTACTCTGCTGTGTTCTCACATAGTAGATGCTTATAAGATTTGTTGAATGATTGAATGACTCTATCCCCCCTTCCCAAATTTAGCCTAATCCTGAATCATTTCGTTTTTATTCATTGTGATCCCTTTGTTACTAAGCCAGAACCCCAGGAGATAACCTCAGGCTTTCCTTTTTTTCTTATTCCATGTATCCAAATCATTGGCAAGTCTAATTTGATTTGCTCCAAAATAGATCTTGAATCTGTCTACTTTTAGTTCAGACTGCCATCCTTTCTTTCCTGGCCACGCTCTTGGTTCCTATTCTTTTTTTAAATTATATTTTTATTGATTATGCTATTACAGTTGTCCTGATTTTGTTTTTCCCTTTGTCCCCCTCCACCCATCGCTGCCTACTCCCCCAGCAATTGCCCCACCATGGTTCATGTCCATGGGTCATGTGTATTAGTTCTTTGGCTATTCCATTTTCTGTACTGTACTTCACATCTGCAGGGTTACCCTGTAACTACCTGTCTGTACCTAATCCCCTTACCTCTTCACGCATTCTATCCCTCCCACCACCCATATGACAACCATCTAGTAACTAACTTCTCTCTTGTTGATTTTAAGAATCTCTCTTTACGCTTAACCTTTGGCCTTTTAATTATGATGTGTCTTGGAGTGGGCCTATTTGCATCCATCATAATTGGGGCTCTCTCTGCTTCCTGGACTTGCATGTCTATTTCCTTCACTAAATTTGGGAAGTTTTCTTTTATTATTTTTTCAAATAGGGTTCCAATTTCTTTCTCTTTTCCTTCTGGCACTCCTAATATGCAAATATTGGACATCTTGAAGTTGTCTCAGAGGCTGTTTATACTAGCCTCACTTTTTTGGATTCCTTTTTCTTGTGGTCCTGCATGGTTGTTTTTTGCTTCCTTATGTTCCATCTCATTGATTTGATTTTTGGCTTCATCCACTCTACTGTTCTTTCCCTGTAAACTTCTTTATTTCAATAGGTGTATTCTTCGTTTCTGAGTAGGTCTTTTTTTATGCTGCCGAGGTCCTCATTAAGTTTCTTGAGCATCCTTATAACCAGTGTTTTGAACTCTGCATCTGATAGATTGTTTATCTCCATTTCATTTAGCTCTTTTTCTGGAGTTTTGATCTGTTCTTTCATTTGGGCCATGTTTCTTTGTCTCCTCACTTTGGCAGCCTCCCTATGTTTGTTTCTAGTATTAGGTAGAGCTGCTTTGACTTCGTGTCTTGATAGTGTGTCCTAATGTAGGAGGTGTCCTGTAGGCTCCAGTGGCACAGCCTCCCCATCACCCAAGTGGGGTACCTGAAGTGCACCCTTCATATGGGCTGACTACACCCTCCTCTTGTAGTTGTGCCGTGGCTGCTGTTGGCAGATCAATGGGAGGGATTTACCCAGGCCAGTCAGCTGTGAGGACTGGCTGTGACCACTGACCACCTACCTCTGCCCTCTGTGGAGGATCAGCTGTGCAGGGGCGGGGGGGTGGTGCTCCGACGTGGTCTGTAGCTGTCCACTGGGTGTGCTGGTCCTGGGTGTCCTGGGTGGTGCAGGCCAAGGTCACGCCCCACCTGTGTTTTTCTTGGGGGCACCCTGCCTGAGTTGTAAAGCAATCTGAGATGGCTGCTACTTCTGCTGGGCTTGGAGATTCCCAGGTGAAGCCAAGCTGTGACTCCAATCTGGCTGCCTCTAGGGCTCACTGAAGCCAGCTGTTGCTTGTTTGATAGGATTTAGGAGCCAAGACCAGTCATTCTTAGGGAAAAGCAGCTTCACCTGGGCCCTGTAAGTAGGGTGCGGCAGAGCCTCTGGGGATCTCCAAGGCAGGTCAAGCAGCATTAGCCAGGTTGATGGAGTCTCAGATATGGAACCAACTTACAAGCTCTGTGAGGAGAGGGTTTAGCAAAGGGACAATGATCTCTGCTAGCTAGTCCTGATGCCAGACAGTTCAGTTTTTCCCTGTGTACCACTGATGCCTTTCAAGCTGCTGCCGTGGTGCTGGAGCTTCAGAGGGAGTGAGTATGAGTAGGTGAGTTTGTGTGTGGGTTCTCTAAGAGGTATTGCTGGGTCTCTAGCAGTTTCTCCCACCAAGCCAATCCCTGCTGATTTTTGCAGGCAGTTGTGGAGAATTACCTTCCTGGCCCTGGAACCCTGGGCTGTGAGTCCTGGTGTGTGGCTGGGACTCCTCACTCCCAAGATACCCCTCCCAGATTCTTATCTACCACATGTGGGTGAGGGACCAGCCCATTCTGTGTTTGTGCTCCTCCTACCAGTCTGGATGGATGTGGTTTCTTTAATTCCATAATTGTGAGACTTCCATTCAACCTGATTTCATGAATGTCAGACTTCCATTCATCTTGATTTCTGATGTTCCTGAGTGATGGTGGTTCTATATTTTAGTTACAATTTTGATGTGGTTGTGCCAAGAGGTGAGCCATGTCTGCCTGTACCGCCATCTTGACTGATAGTCTCCCCCATTTTTTTTTAAACTCATACAGCTCCTCCCTACCCTCCCTCTGGCCTCCACACAGCCGCCACTGTAGAAGTGTAAATCAGATGTCATTGTTTTGCTTAAACCTTTTAATGACTTTCCACTGCATTTAAAATAAAATTCAAAAATTTAATAAAAAGATAAATTGAAGCTCCTTAATATGGCATATAAAGTCATATGTGATTTGGCTATGGCTTACCTTCTAACTGGCCATAAGGTTGAGTTAAAAATGCAGGCTTTGGATTCATACTGCATTGAATTGAATCCAAGCTCCACCACTTGCTCTGTGGTTTTGAGCAAGTTTGTTAACCTTGCCTATGTTTGCTAATTTCATTTTGAAAATGGCAGGGTATCTACCTCATAGGTGGC